CCTCGCCAGGTCGAAATCGGATGTGAGTGTGTTGATGTCCGGACGGGATAATGCATCAGCAACGACATTGTCGCTGCCTCGGACGTAGCGGATATCGGCAGTAAACTGCGAAATATAGTCCAGGTGACGAACTTCTCTGGGCGAGTACCGGTCTGGCTTGGCCTTCAGGGCGTAAGTGAGAGGCTTGTGGTCGGTGTGGACCGAAAAGTCTCTGCCCTCTAAAAGGTGTCGAAAGTGACGTAAGGCCAAGTAGACGGCAAGGAGCTCGCGAGAGAAAGTACTGTAGCGAGTCTGCGCAGGTTGTAGCTTCTGTGAAAAGAAAGCGCAAGGCTGCAACTGGTTATTCACCTGTTGATGCAAGACTGCGCCGACAGCACTGCTGGAAGCGTCGGTGGTCAAAATGAGCTGTGCATGAGCGTCAGAGCTGAGGTGGTGCAGCATGGTGGCATCGGCAAGAGCCTTCTTCGCTTCCTCAAAAGCTGTATGGGCTGCCGGTGAAAGTTTAATAGGTTTTGCTTTCGACTTCAAAAGGTCAGTCAAGGGAGCCAGGATTGCCGCACAATGGGGAATAAAACGTCTGTAATAGTTAATAAGGCCTATGAAACGTCGCAGTTGAGTGAGTGTGTTAGGAACAGGGAAAGACAAGATGCATTGCACCTTCTCTGTAAGTGGAGTGATTCCGTGCTGATCGACGTGATGGCCAAGGAAATCGAGAGAATTAACGCCAAAAACGCATTTGTCGACGTTTAATTGCAAACCGTGTTGCTGGAAACGATCGAATAGGAGGCGTAAATGCGAGGCATGTTCCTCTGCCGAAGAGCTTGCGACGAGTATGTCGTCCATGTAGGCGTAAGTGAATGGAAGGCCCCGCAAGATCTCATCGATGAAACGCTGAAACGACTGGGCAGCATTGCGCAAACCAAAAAGCATGCGAATAAATTCGAACAGCCCAAAGAGTGTCGTGATAGCGGTCTTTGGGATATCTTCCTCGGCGACCGGGATTTGGTGGTACGCCCTGACGAGGTCTATCTTGGAAAAAATAGTTTTGCCGGCTAACATGTGGGAAAAGGCATAAATGTGGGGGATGGGGTACCGGTCAGGGATTTTGGACCTGTTTAGGGCTCGATAATCACCGCACGGTCTCCAACCGTCAGGGGACTTCTTTGGCACCATGTGCAGTGGTGAGGCCCATGGGCTAGATGAAGGGCGTATAATGCCCAGATTCATCATATGTTCGAATTCGTTCTTAGCTATTCGGAGCTTGTCAGGGTGGAGTCTACGCGGACGAGCGTGCACTGGTTGCCCTGTCGTGACAATGTGGTGTTTCACTCCGTGTTGAACGGTTTTGGTAAAATGACATGGTGTTGTGATGGACGGGTAGTCCTTCAAAATGTCAGCGAAAGGGGTGCTGGGGATGGTGAAATGAATGCCAACCGACCGTTCAGAGCTACTGGTACCTATAGTAAAGAGTTGGGTGGTGGTGTCTGAGAGGCGACGGTGTCTGACATCGACTGTTAAGCCGAAAGATGACAAAAAGTCGGCCCCGATAATGGGCGATTTGACGTCAGCCTCAATAAAGACCCATTGAAAACGTCGCCGGAGACCAAGATCTAAAGTGAGGGACCGTTGGCCGTAGGTGCTGATTGTGGTGCTGTTTGCAGCCTGCAATGAGAATTGCGATGGCTTGAGGCGGTGACGCCTTAGAGGCGGGATGACACTGACCTCGGCACCGGTATCGACCAGGAAACGAAGGCCACTCGACTTGTCGTTGATATAGAAAAGGCGACTGGGTCGCGACGGGCCAGCAGCAGTCGTCGCCATTACTGGCTGGCGTGGTCGCTTAACTGTGGAGGACAAGCGAACGAACAAGGAGGTATGCACTTTCGGGCTTTCGGGCCATACGTGCGGTGATACCAACATAAGGGTTGTGAACGCCGCTCACGGGATTTAGACCGTCGATGTGAGCATGGCTGTTTCCTAGCTGCTTGAAGACTGTTAAGCACAGAGCACATGTTGCTCACCTGAGTGCAAAGGAGACGCACAGTGTCTCTCAGGTCGTCGTAATCAGTGCGATAAGCGGCGGTGGGTGTTCTGGGAGGACCGGCTGATGTGGGCGCGCGGCGGGTTGTGCAACAGCATGACGCTTTTTCCGAATAGGGAGTGTCGTGCGCTGGTAATGGTGGGCCTTCTGAATCAGAGTCAATGCCCTGATGGGGCTTGCCTTTGGAAGGCGGTGGCTGTTGAATTGTGGAACACGAGGCACCCATGGAGTAACACTCTTTGATTCTGTCGGCGTGGGTAGCTAGTTTCTCTAAAGGTGTATTCGAGTCCAACATGGCCAAAACCTGCTGCATAGGCAACGGTAACTTTTCTAACCAAATCTCGCGAAAAATGGCGTCATCCATGTGCCTATCAGCGAGGAGTGAGCGCATGTGACGCATGAGCTGGGAAGGTGTCTGATCACCTAGCTCTACTTGAGTGAAAAGTCCCCGCAGCATAAGGTTAGCCGATTTAGCTACCCGTTGGATAACCGCTTCCTTCAGCAGCGTATACGGTTTGTCGGCTGGAATGGGGTCAAGGAGGTCTTCGACCGTGACAGCTACATCAAATGGGAGTGACTGCAGAACGTACGAATAGCGAGTACGCTCGCTAGTAATGCGGCTTGTCACAAAAAGAGCCTCGATCTGCCTGAACCAAACGCGAGGGTTGCTCGGGGTAAACGGTGGCAGTTTAAAAGAAAGGGTGTTAATGTCGAGTGAGTCTTTTTGGGAGTCGTCACTGGCCATGGTAAACGGAAAAAAAGGTTCGGAATGCAGGAAAAAGCGGGGTCACCAGTTTTGTAGTGGAAATGTGGACTTAGAAACTACAAACAGTAATATATGCAAAAGAAAACTAACTCCGAATGGGGGGATTGTGTTTACCAACAAAAAAAGAATGTACAGATTGAAAGAACCAGAAAAGGAATGTTCCAGACTCACGTAAGGTAGAATCCTATCAAGTAGGGAGATAGTGTCCCGATGGAGAAATGGTTGAAGGGAGGCTCTAGGTTCCGCGATGGTCCGTCGAGTTCAGCTTCGAGGAGGAAGTCTCCGGCAGCACGAACGAGTTGCTAAGAGAATTGAGAGGTGACAAGCGCACGCCAAGAAATAACGATGTCAAACACACTCGAGACCAGAGCACATGTTGACCGCCGTAGCGTTGTTCAAATCTGTGTATTCTCCGTTTAGTCAAACAAATGTACAGGCAGGTCAGGTGTACAAGAAATGTAGTGAAACAAATCAAAAGTGTACAAAGGCCTACAAAATAAACAGATTAAGCCAGACTAGAAATTTTATTTTATGTCCGATGTTGACCATAGTTATCAATCTCCTAAGAAAAGGGTTATTTTTTTAAAAAAAAAGAGGAACTCTTATCAATTCCTTAGTGTCAAATTAGCAGATCTGTGCGAATTGGTGCCCTGAAGTGCAATAATAACGCAGATATTGTAGATTCCGTCGTTTAATTTGGCTGCAACTTTTTGCCGTTTGGACAAGTCAACCTGATGTCACATAAATGACCACCACCAAATGTTCATTTCCAGCTTTAAACATAAGGCACACTACTTTTCTAGTATTTTAGATTCTGTGCATACTTTTTCCAGAAACAGAACGAGCAAACAGTAATAGTTTCATCCAAATATCAGTATTTGTATGGGCGCTCTGTCGTGCATTCATAATCGAAGAACGGAGTCTAAAAGCGAACGAAAACAGTTTAACTGGCCTCAATGTTTAGAGGAAGACAGGTTCTTGCGTTTACGGAAGAAAAAAAATCAGTATTGCTTAGGAAAATGAAAGAAGTCATCAAAAGTGCCAAATTTTTGCCTGGCCTCTTCGTGCAAATATGCAAAGTAGACAGAGATCCGTTAACGAATTTCAGTAATAAACCACTACCTAAAGGGGTAACTTATTAAGGAAAGTTTTTTTATTAATCCAAGGCATAATAGTTGGTGACTTTCGTTGTGCACAGTTATTTTTCTCGAAAAGGAAGTTTGATGTTCAAATGAGTCTTCGAATGTGACCGAAACGAACATCTTCGTGAAAAGGAGCGCCTGAACACTGAGTATGTCTGTAAATTCTTTCAAGAAGAATCTTAATTTACAATTCTCAACAGACAGTTGATTCAGAATCTGTCTTTATGGACGAGCGGGTTAAAACACTGAAAATCATGAATTATTCGAATGTGATCGATTTGACCTTATAACCATATTTCACCTATCGTTCCGGCAGCGGTGTTTAAAGTGTGTGCATCTCACAGGTGGGAAGGTAGACACTTGATCGAAAATTTTTGTCTATAGAGCCTGGATGGACTGGAATGCCCATGAATGATTGCTTGCCATCATGAAACTGCTTCTTCCCATATTATGTCGCGAAGGACTCAGTTATTATCCGGGGTTAGTTGCTCATCGACAAATTCAGTCAAGTCCGCCTTAACCTTAAGACGAATCGCAAAGGTCAAAGGAATTGACTCGAAGACCTCTTTACGAGCGACGAACGCGCGCATCAGCGGAAGCGTTATGCTATACTGGCATCTGCGCGGCATCTCAACTCCAACCGACTTGATATGGATTTCCATTGACTTATGACAGTTCGACCATCGATTTCGATGATGTCCACCGTGTGCCCCACAGACTGCATTGTGCGAGCAGGGACGGTGACTTGCGCAGGAGTTTATAGTGCCAGTAGACTTGCGCTGCATCTACCTACACTCTCTCCTCCTCCCCCGCCTGGGCCCGGTGTCAAGACACAGTCAAAAAGACCGGAGAAGAGGGAGGCCGCAGCTGAATGGCTCGGACGGATCCCCACCTTGGCGTTCTACCACACCTCCTGGTCCACACAACAAATAACCAGGATTTCAACCAACTACAGAGATTTGGAGGCTGGCACGGCCGAAACCGCACCTGGGCGTGCCGCCAACGCCTGGCTTGGATCCCACACTGTGGTGAGAGTGCCATAAAGGCCACATTAAAAAAGAGCCATGCGTGAGGTGAAGGTGCGATCGCAGTGAGGGCAGATGTAGCCCTGGCCCTCACGTCTGATGATGGAGGTTGCAGGGGTTGTGCCTGTTGTTGTGTCAGGTGCGGCTGCGGTGAAGTCATGCGCTACAGACGCCAGAGTGGCCGTCGTTGTGGCAGTGGAGGAGGAAGAGGAGGAAGAAGGGGAGGAGTGAGGGGTGGTAAGGTCGGTGGCGTCGATGTCGGCTGGGGAGTGGTTAGTGGGTGCGCAATGTGATGGATTGGGAGTGGGGCTCGACGGGGTGGGTGTGTCAAGGCGGCGGTCAATTCCGCTCTCGTGAATGCGCATGTGGCCGAGTAGACCCATGCGATGCGTGAAGGTGCGAGGGCAGTGTGGGCAGTGGAGGCGAGTGCGGTGGGTGTAGGTTGGTGCTCCAGGCACTGGTTCGCCAGTCTCTGTGCGATGGATTCGCAAGTGACCGACCAGGCCGATGCGAGAGGTGAAGGTGCGGTCGCAGTGAGGGCAGGTGTAGTCCTGGTCCTCATCACTGGAATCGGGAGAGGTGGGGGTGGTGGCGGTTATTGTGTCGGGGTTGGTGATGTGTGAGACGGCAGTCTGAACGGCCACCGCTGGGGCAGTGGAGGAGAAGGAGGAGGATGAAAGTGGTGGTGCAGAAGGAGTGTCAGAGTTAGTTGGCGGAAGAGAGGACGAGGAAGAGGCGGGCGGGGGGACGATGGCTGGAGCAGTTCGAGAGGTGCAGTTGGTTCGGAGATGTCCAACAAGTCCGATTCGTGCCCGGAATGTCCGTTGACATCGAGGACACGTAGGGAGAGGTTGTGCGGCGGCGTTGCGTATTGGGCGAAGTTGTGATTTGCGGGCTTCGCGTTTCGCTTTGGCGGCGGCGATTCGGTTGGCTTCATAGATAGCAGCGCCCGTCTTCACTGTTCTCCTCCATGTCGGACGATCGCGAGCGAGCTCTTCCCAGTTGGTGGGGTTGATGTGCAGGCGCTTCAGGGAGGACTTCAGGGTATCCTTGTAACGGCGAATTTGGCCTCCTTGACGACGAGAACCCGTCGCGACGTCTCCGTAGAAGAGTCGTTTGGGTAGTCGCTCGTCGTCCATGCGCACCAGGTGGCCGCTCCAGCGCAGCTGCATTTGTTTCAGTATGGCGTAGATGCTGAGGATTCCCGTTCGTTCCAGTACTTCCGTGTCGGGGATTCGATCCTGCCAGTTCAGCCTCAGGATGCGACGGAGACAACTGAGGTGGAAGTGGTTCAGTCGGCGTGCCTGTCTCGTGTACACCGTCCAAGTCTCCGCCCCATACAGTAGCGTGGGCAGGATGACGGCCTTGTACATCTTCAGCTTTGTGCTCAGTTGGAGACCGTGGCGATACCAGACTGTGCTTCGGAGGCGACCGAAGGCTTGACTGGCTTTCGAGATCCTGTTGGCGACTTCGTCATCGATCTTGGTGTTGCGGGAGAGGGTACTGTCCAGATTCGGGAAGTTCTCCACCACTTGCACTTGGGTTCCGTTCACGCTGATTTGCGGCGCGTTGGGGGCTGTGACTGAGTTGGGTGGCGGTTGATGCATCACCACCGTCTTCTGCGTGTTGATAACCAGCCCAAAGTTCTCGCAGGCGGCGGCGAATAGGTCCATGCTGCGTTGCATCTCCGCTTCGGAGGTGGCGTTCAGGGCGCAGTCGTCGGCGAAGAGGAGTTCGTGCACGGTGGCTGTGGATACACGCGATTGGAAGTTCATGCGCCGGTGATTCAGGAGGTGACCGTCCGTCCTGTAGGCGATGCGGATTCCAGGGTGTTCGTCGCGGTAGGCGTCCATCAGCATGACAGAGAACATGAGACTGAAGAGGGTTGGTGCCAGCACGCATCCCTGCTTCACTCCGTTGGTCACTGCGAATGCCTCTGAGACAGCTCCGTTGTCCGTGACTCGCGCCATCATACCGTTGTGCAGCTGACGCACCATCTGATTGAATCGCTCCGGACAGCCGAATTTATGCATGATCTTCCACACTCCTTCACGATTCACCGTGTCGAAGGCTTTCGTCAGGTCCACGAAGGTAGAGTACAGGTGGGTCCGCATCTCCTGGCACTTCTCCTGAAGTTGGCGGGCGGCGAAGATCATATCCGTGGTCCCACGATGACGACGGAAGCCGCATTGGCTTTCCGGCAGAAGGCCCTGTTCCAGATGGTTGTTGAGGCGATTGAGCAGGATGCGAGCGAAGATCTTCCCGGCGATGTTCAGTAGGGAGATGCCGCGGTGGTTGTCGCAGACTTGGCGATTCCCTTTTCGCTTGTAAAGGTGCACGATAGTTGCGTCCTTGAAATCTTGCGGGACTTCTCCTTGACGCCACATCTCCTGGAAGAGCGCAGTCAGGTGATCCATCAGTAGGGGACCTCCGTGCTTGTAGACCTCAGCAGAGATTGCGTCCGATCCGGGTGCTTTCCCGCTGGAGAGTTGCTGCACGGCCCTGATGGTTTCCTGGAGAGATGGCGGGAGGTCGAGGTCCGCGTTGGTCTCCACTTGCGGCAAGCGGGCGATGGCGGCGTCGGAGATGACGGAAGGGCGGTTGAGGACGCTTCGGAAGTGCTCGGCCCATCGCTGTAGGATTTGCGTCTTCTCAGTCAGCAGAGTGCTGCCGTCGGCGCTGAGGAGAGGAGCAGTGCCCTTCGTCGGCGGACCGTAGACAGCTTTGATCGCGGAGAAGAAGTTCTTCCATTCGTTGCGGTCCGCGTAGCCTTGGATCTCCTCAGCTTTGCGAGCAGTCCAGGCGTCCTGCATCTCGCGCAGTCGTTGCTGAAGCTGTCGGCGACTGCGGTAGAAGGCAGCTTTGTTGTCTTCAGTGGGGTGATCTACGTAGGCTTTGTGTAGGCGGTTCTTCTCGGCAAGCAGATTTCTGATGGCAGCGTCGTTGTCGTCGAACCAGTCCTGGTGTTGGCGGGGAGCGCGACCGAGGACGGCGAGCGCCGTCGACTGGACCGTGTCTCGCAGTTGACACCAGCGGTTCTCCACGGAGGCGTTCTCGGCAGTTGCGGTGGCGGCGGCGTCGTCGGCGGCGGCAGCAACAGGAAGGTTGTCTAGCCGTTGAGCTAGCTCATTGCTGAAATGAAGATGATGAGCGGGCAAAGACAACAAAGCAACATTCAGCTTACCTGGGGGTCGCTTACCTTGTGGTCTCCTGCGAGGCTGTAGGCGAATACGCATCTTCGAGATGACGAGGCGATGATCGGTCCACCCGTCAGCACCCGCGATCGCCTTCTACACCAGCACGTCCCGCTGATCTCGCCTCCGGACGAGGACATAGTCCAGCAGGTGCCACCGACGCGACCGAGGATGCCTCCAGGTGGCCTTCTCTCGCTCCGGCAGACAGAAGTACGTGTTCGTCAGGATGAGGCGGTGTTCTGCGCAGGTGCGGAGGAGCAGCAGGCCGTTGTCGTTGGAGCCGCGGAGACCGTGAGGACCCAACACTCCTCTCCAAGAAGTATGGTCTCTGCCGACGCGGGCGTTGAAGTCGCCAAGGACAATCAACTTGTCCGCCTTCGACACAGTCGCCAAGAGGGCGTGCAGGTCCTCGTAGAACTAGTCTCTTGCGGCGGCGTCGGGGCAGCTCATCGGCGGAGCGTAGGCGCTGATGATTGTGGCGAATTTGCCCCCACCCCGCAGAGGCAGACGGAGGCTCATCAGGCGATCGTTGATTCCCTGCGGCAAACAGGGTAGTCGCCCCACGATGTCGTTCCGGATGGCGAAGGCGACACCCGCGTCTCGTCGCTCTGCCTTGGGTCGACCACTCCAGAAGAAAGTGTAACCGGCACCCACCTCCTCCAGTTGGCCTTGTTCGGAGAATCGGGTCTCGCTGAGTGCGGCGATGTCCACCTTGTAGCGCGCCAGTTCTCTTGCCACTAGCGCCGTCCTCCGTTCCGGTCGGTTGCTCCTCGGATTGTCTAAAAAGGAACGAACATTCCAGGCTGCCAGAGTGAGCGAGCTCACCCTGCCAGTCTGGCGACTGCGGCAACGAAAAGTAGGAGTAGGAGAAGAAGAAGAAGAAGAATAGGCTGGAAGAGGAAGAGAGTGATTGTTGTTGTTGTTGTTTCGGTTTTGGCTGTTTCGACCGTGTGTTTTTTGTCTGCGGCCACGGCCAGCCTACAGACAGCGTGGTTCCCAGCGATCTTTTGGGCACCTTTTCTAGCCCCCTTCCCCTCGCGGGGGCAGGCAACGCATCCCTGAACAGGGCTGCTCGGTTATCCCAGACGGCTGCCGGACTCCACTATGGGCCACGACTTTTTGTTAGTGAGAGAACGACCCGAATTAGCCTGGGACCTTGGTGGTGAGGTGATGATGTGATGGAGTGAAGTAGGAGAGAGCATACACACTACCTAACGCTATGGCACTTAGAACTAGAGTGGACAAGCGGACACAGTCACCAGTCAGAGACAAAGTGAGGGCACCACACAAAGTCAGGCCCCGTAACACCTAGCTATTAGTAGAGAGTGGCATAGAATGACGGACAGACAATCGCAGCAGGCATCGAGGGTGTCGTTTAGCTATTAACAGACAGACTAGCAGATAAAGGGCAGGCAGCAAGCGCAGCGTACGACGCGGAACTTCAACAAACAAAAGGAAGAAACAAAGCAAGCGCACTTACCTGAGGGGAACTTACCTGGTGGCCGCCTACCATGGTCCAGGCAGAGCCTCGTCTCGACGATGTCGACGCGAAGATCCATCCGGCCAGCGCAGACCACAGTACCGCGCGTGCACGTGCACGCACGGATATCCTCACCTGGTTTAGCCCGCCGGTCGAGACGGTTGCCGCTGAGCAGAGCCCAGCTACGTGGAGCCACAGGTGAGAGTTAGGTGCCAGCAAATGGACGCTAGGCGTAGTCTCACCTGCAAGCAGGTGAGCGACCACTACGACCATCACGTGGACCCACCGCAGACACCCCTAAAACCCCCCACACACACACACACACACACACACACACACACACACACACACACACACACACACACAACGCGACGAACTGCGTGAACCGAGAGCGGGCGTCAATCAGCAACCTTCCTATCACGACAGTTGAAGAGTCGGGATAGTCTCGGACTCAAATCACCCGTGCAGCCGAAGCCGCTGGGGACCGAGTCGAGATGCACACTTCTCACTTGCGTGGAAGGTGGCAGTTGGTGCATGCGGTGGGTGAGTGGTGATGTGTGTTGGTGATGGTAGAGGAGGGTAGGGAGTGTGTGGATGTGTGGTGTAACCGGCGGTTGCCTACCACAGGTCGTCGTGGATGCGCATGTGGCCGAATAGGCCCATGCGGTGCCTGAAAGTGCGAGGACAGTGTGGGCAGTTGAGACGAGCTTGGTGGGTGTAGGTTGGTGATCGAGGCACTGGTTCGCCGGTCTCTGTGCGATGGATTCGCAAGTGACCGACCAGGCCGATACGTGAGGTGAAGGTGCGATCGCAGTGAGGGCAGGTGTAGTCCTGATTCTCATTGCTGGAGTCGGGAGAGGCGGGGGTGGTGCCG